AGCGAGCTCTCACAATAAACATAATCAAGCCCAAGTCTCTCAGTCTGTGCTGCACTCCCTTTTGCCCAGGTGCACGTTCCCACCCTCCTCTTTCCTAACAGGACTGCTGCTGCTCGGGACACTCAAGTCATCATGCTGATCAACTCCAAAATCTTTCTGAAGTAGTACAGATTTAAACCTAGCTTAAAAATTGTGAAGTTTCAGCCACAATTGGGAAGAACCATCCGGACAAGCATTCCTCACTGCATACAGCCAGGATGCTGGGCATCTCCAAAGCGGTTCCATCCAGTGTAGTCAGTGAGGTAGCATCTTCCATAAAAGTTGTGAGATCTACTATCAGAGACTATCCATATATGTGCACAAGATGGTCCAATGAAAGTTGCAGATGCCACCTTAGCTCTCTGAAATAAGAGAGTTCCTGATTTGTGAGCATCCTGTTTTTCTTCAGCGCTGCCTTATTACACATACCATTTCACAAGGTTGTTTGGGTTTTTTTTTTAAGCAGAAGGCTAAAATCTCTATCAAGTGACATCACATGACACCCTCACAACTCTGAAGCATGACTTTACATCCGTGATGCACAGTCCTGATACTTGAGCTATATATGAGAAATTCACAGTGATATTGTGAACAAAAGCAGTAATTACAGTGAATGAGACATACTTCACTAAAAGAAAGCAAACAAGACTTCAGGAGTCTCAGGTTTCATTAAAAATGGTGTCGGGAAGACTACAGCAAGTAGATTCTTCTGATAATTACCTCCATAAATTGGAACTCTTCAATCTTTTTCCCTTCAGTCTACTTTCTTCTCAATAGCATTATCTAGCCACTCCCACCTCATCTCTAACTTTTCCAGTTCTTCATCTCAATTCCAACTTCATCTTCTCTCTCCCTGTCTTCTCACAATTTCATCCTCCTCTTCCCAATTGCACGTGAATCCATAATCCTCTTACTGCTTTCCTAGTAAAATAATAAAGTTCCCTATTCCAACTTCCTTGCTCAGCAGTTCCATTTCTATTTCTTCGCAACGTTCCCATATGACTCCAAACTCTTAAATCTAGCTGCTCAACAAGTACTAGCTTCCTCTACCTACATACATACAATATCATTCTTCTCCTCCCCCTCTCTCCACATTTCACACGGCAAGCAATTGCCAGTACTACTATTCTGTGGCTCCACATCTTGCTCTCAAGTATGAAAAGCAGGAAGTTCCCTCCTCCACAGTGCCTAGAGATCCCGCACCCACTCCAGAAACCTAAACCAAGTACAACAGTCACTTTCAACTGTTAAAATCTTTTTCAATTGTTTAAAATCCCCTAAGCTGAAGGCGTCCCCCTCTCACCTTCCCCCCAAAATCAGTATTTACTCAGGTTGATAAGCTTATATGAAGACAGGGTCTGCATTTCCTTGCCACAAGCACATTGTCAAATGTTACCCTCCCAACACAAACTATGGGAGTTTCAGGTTAAACACAGTTGCATCCCCTCCCCATCAACAGATAGATTTTTAAAGAAAATAAAATGTGACTTTAAGAAACAGTCGAATTATTTTTCAGCCTATACACCTAAAGTCACCCATACAGCTCACGTTATTTGGTCTTCCATCTGTTTTGCACATAAACAAATTTTCAGATCTAGGTGTAAAACACGACAGTATAAGCATGGCATACCATTGCTTTTGTGTTTTGGCATCAATTCTAATAGACAGTCCAAAGCCTGATAGTACTTTGAAATACTGTTTCAAGTGCTTTATAACACAAAGTATTTTTATTTCCCTCCTAGGTAGGAATAAGGCTGAACAACAAGACAAACACAGCTCAGCTAAACTGGGCATTAGAACCAAGTTCTCCTTAACCCAGTGAATCATCACAGCAAATAACTAGTAAGATATTCTTCTACAATAAATAAAAATTATGCAGTTTCTACACTAGTCTGTTTAGTTTCAATGACACATGCTCTCAAAATAATTGATCTCAAGAGTTGAAAAATTCTTTCTACTAAAAAGAAACGTTTCCTACATGTTTATTTGTTCCCACTCTGAAAGCAAGTTTCCATTTCATCTTCCTAATCCACCAACACTTACTCTGTAAAAGCTTTTGCATTAGCCAGCTCTTGACACATGCCTGCCATTCAGCTCCATTTAAGTCTGCCTCGAAATGTACTTCACCTGATGCTACGCAGGCCAAAATTAATATTCAATAGTATGGCACTGTCACAACTGACATCTATTACATTCTCCCTGTGCCACAATAAATTCTTGCTACATTTAGGGAATTCTGATTAACCAAGCTCAAAATCTTACAGCTTACTGGAAATTAAAGAGGAAGAACCCTTTCATTATTTTTAGTACTGTCCAGAAGCTGGGACGATCAAGATCCACTTTCTAAGAGCTCTATAAATCTAACATAAACGAAGACCGTTAGTTCTTCAGGGTGGAGGGATAAATACTCAAATAATACTTCCTAGTTTGTTAAATTCTACAAAGTAAATGGTATAAAGTAATATTTTAAAGAGGACAGCACAACATAGCACATCTGCCTGTCCTTTTCTTCTACAAAAGCTTTGTCACCATTTTCTGGCAGTGGTAATCTCACAATTAAGCACCTCTTCAGGTTTTTCCAAATTGAAACAACATCCATTGCTCCTCATGTGTTGTTTGAGCTTATGCTTTCTTCATTTAGACCTCTAACAGTCATCCACCAGTAAACAGCCTGGATTATTTGGTCACAACATGCCTATGAGCTTGAAAAGAGTGTTAAACTTTCTTCTAATTTCGACTCTAATTTATACACAGCTAGTTTACTTGCTCTTCTGCTAACAAAGTCCTTCTCTCTTGCTGGTATTTATTTACTCACCTAACGCTTTTATTCAGAGCACCCGACATTGTGTCCTGTTAGAACAAACAAAGCAACCTCTCCTTTCCTCAGGCACAGACTTTTTGAATAGCATCCTAGTTTTCCTTTCCATGCCTGTCTGAGCTAGGATTTATCCTTTTGTCTGCTAGTAGCCAGGAATAGTACACAGCACGCCAACAAGGGTGGCCCCAACATCAAGAGTAAGACTATTAATACTTTCACGATGTTGGGTGAAGATTCTTGCCTTATACATACAAACGCAGCACTCGCCTTTTTATTAGCCACAGCCCATCAGTAGCTCAGTCTGAGGTCTACTAAGGTTCTGTTCCTCTACTGTTTCCAACTGAAAATTTCCAAGCTTAAAAAGATAATATTACCTAGTCTCATAAAAACAATTATTTTACACCACTGATTCCCCCACTATATTTATTCCTTGTTCAAGGTAACCCGACTACATCATATCCTGATATCTTTTTTTTTAAATCATTATTAATGCCTCAAAGCCTTACATCTTTGATTAACTGAAAAGGTTAAAGAGCAACAGGTTAATGAAATTTGCCAGTCCCAAGAACTCCACTAGAAACCCTCTTACAGTTTAAAACCTTTCCTTTTCAGCAGAAACTACTGCCAGCTTTGGAGCCAACTCCTTGCTCATCTCGTAATTCTTCTAGATGTCATACTCTCCAGCTCAGTATTTTCCCATGAAAAGCCATACAAAATACTCACCTGTGCCCATAGAGTTTTGATCCATTGCATTTTTTTGTATCAAAAATGATTTTCCTTAGAAAAGAAGCACTCTAGATTTAACTTTGGAAAATTCTCCCTCTGGTAATTCTTTCCTTCAACGTATGTTCTGAAGTCCCTACGAAGGGATCAGACAAGCAAGCCTATAATAGGTCAGATCACTTTCTGCCTCAAAGGCATCAAGTTTCATAGTGTCTTCATTGTTTTCCAGTCATATAGTATACTGATCTGTCTCAATATAAAAATAAATATTTGTTTCCAGCCTAAAACTTCATATAGCAGTTATTTCAAGATACAGGGACACAGATTAGCACCAACATCTCCTAAATTAACAAATAATATGCAGCAGTAAAACTAGAGGTGAAGATCCTATAACTTCATATTATTGCGTTTTAATATGAGCAGTTTGGAAGTATAATTTACATCCACAGTCACAACTAACATTTAAGACAGACGTTACTGCTCATTATTTTAAACGTAACACCTACAATGATTCTCGGTAATAACTGAAACAATCATGTTCCTTCTCAAAAAAATAAAGCAAAACAAAACTCTAATCAAGATTTTTCTCCTTTAGTGTATCTAATA